TTACACCCCACGAGAGAAAGGTGGACCCAGCTGGCGGCGGTCTGGGCTCCTGCAGTGGTCTCGGTGTTTCACTGTGCAGGTGAGTCAGCCTCCTGGGCTACGCGTTCACAGACATCGCCGTCAGTGCTTTTTGACACCTCGTGTCTCCGTGATCGTCAGTGATGAGCGTCTCCGGGAGTCTGGTACATGAACACGGGTGTTCACGGCACACACGTGTATCCATTCGCTCGATGGCGCCTGTTCTCAGGGCGGACAACGGGCGCATTCAGCCAACGACCGAGCCTCTCGTCCTCAGCTCCACTAACACCTCGGGGAACACAGGAGACGGCACCCAGAAGGCTCCACGTTCGAGGCTCAGTTCACCCACTTGTGACTTTCTCTTCACGCCGTAGGAGGAGGGAGAGAACACGCTCGCTAGCTTTGCTTTTTACCTCCGACCTCACGGAAGCTACGTGGCCGATGCCGAGCGGGATGAAAACAGCGCCCCAGCCGGCAGTGCCGACGGACTTTACCTAACGGGGTGATGGGGTCTGACTGACATTACGGGCATCCTGCTGTGGAAATTACGAAGCAACTTAACTTACTGCAGTTAAGAGCATGGTGTCGACTCACTTTTAGATCATGTGTAGGCAAAGTAAGTGCAGGTTCTGAACTGTAAAGGGCAGAGCTCCGAACCAGCACACGGTAAACGCCAATGCGCCCCAAGTGCGAGAAGCAACCTGAGCAGACGGTCTTCTCTGTCAACATTACCCTCCAGGGGCGGACATCTCCTGAGCGGTCACTTCCATGTAAGTGGGAGGGTCAAGAATGGAGAAACTTCACGGAGCACACGGTTATGACACGCGTTCTGTAGATGGGCCAGCTCAGGCTGGGGCGTCTCACCCAGAACCAAGCCCTCCGGCGTTTAGTTCGTTCCTTTCAATGGCCCCTGTCCCCCTCCTCCTGTGACACTGAACCTTCACACGCTTCAAACGTGTAAACACGCCCAGATCCTTGGAATGTGACTCCCATGTCACCATCAGGACTGAAGGTACACGTCCCATCTTAGTCTCCGGAGTCCCTAAGGACCGTTAATTAACTGTGTGCGCTGGGGTGGGGGGTGTGTGTGTGCGTGTGTGTGCATGCGTGTGTGCGTGCGTGTGTGTTTGTGTGCATGCGTGTGTGCATGTGTGCGTGTGTGTGTGTTTGTGTGCGTGTGTGCGTGTGCGCGTTTGTGTGCGTGTGTGTGCGTGTGTGTGTATGTGTGTGCGTGTGTTTGTGTGCGTGTGTGTGCGTGTGCGCGTGCTTGCCGGCATCTCTGCGCCGCGATCACGCTGACAGGTCTCCCGTCGCTCCCCCTGCGGAGCCCCGGCTCAGACGGCCGGCAGCTGCCGGATGTGGAAGGAGCGGCTACGGACGTTACCTTTATTAAGCACAATTGAATTTGCCAGCTCAGACAGGTTATTGGCTAAAAACAGTCCCAGGTTCATATTTCTTATAATTAAGTAAACACGGAAGGGCCTCGGCGGCTGGCAGGAAGACGCGTTCAGCCAGCGGGACGCAGGCGAGGAGGAGACTGCGAACGCAGCGCCGGCCCCGTCCCGTGACACTGAAGACGCCTGAGGGGACGCCTGCCGCACCCAGGCCCTCCCGGGTGTGGTCCCGGAGGGTTCGGTGGGAAGGCTCAGGCGGCTTCCGCAGAAAGATGATTAATTACCTCCGAGCCCCCTTAACGATGAAGACGCCTTTGACTGACAGCCCGGGCAACCCAGGCCTGTTGTTTTTATTGTTATAACTAATAAAGTAGAATTATCAGAACAGCCCACTTCTCAGTGCTGAACTGCATGGATTCGGGCGCATCCAAGTTAACTCCGTTGCCGTCTTAGCGAATGGAAAGGGGGCAGCCAAGGGCACCAAGGCGCAGTCTAGACACCCCCTTAAATTGCTGCAGAACTAAGTCCTATCTTACGTGGCGGCTACTGGGAAACAGCCCGTGGACGGCAGGCGCTCCCCGGCCCCTCGTGCGTGGCGTTGCCATCAGCACAGTTTCGCCCCATTCCTCGCAGCAAGGACTGGGCTGCGCAGTCCCGCCCGGCCCACCTTCACCATCACCCGCTCGGCCGGCTGCTGAGCCCTGGCCTTCGCCTGCTTCTAGGGATCCCCAACCGCCCGGAGCCCGGAGCGTTCCCGAGGTTCTGTCTGATCTGTCGACGGCGTTTAATCCTGCGTTTGGGGGGCTTCTGTTCTCCTGTGAAAGTTAATCTCACCTCATTAAGCTGCGGGAAATGCTGGGGAATCATTAACAGATTCCCCGTCATCTCAGCGCCCGGCTGCGCTCCCCAAGGACCGCGGCGGCGGAGCCTGAAGGTGTCAGAAGCATGTGTGTGAGGCCACAGGGGAGCCCAAGAGACGGCCGGGACCGGAGTTACATCAATGCGCTGACGACGCTCGTGTCCTCATCTCATCAAACCCCTCTCCTGCGGCCCGGGCGCCTTCTCAAGGAAGGCGGAGGGCGCCCCCAACCGCCGCTGGGATCGGCATGGAGGGCGCCTCGGAGCAGGGGCCAGCAGCAGCCTCACCGGGGAACCTGTCAAAAATGCAAATCCCCAGGCCCACCCAGACCTACTGAGTCAGAACCAGGGCCCAGCAAACTCTTTCAGATCCCCCCAGGTGATCCTGGAGCAAAGGGGGGCTCTGGACCCCAGCGTTAGAGAAAGGGGGTGGGGGCTCCCAGCTCCGTCCATTAGAGCTCGGTGGGATCCAGTCACGCTGTTCCCCGCCACACCCCGCAGCGCACGGTCTCAGGCGACCCCACGTCCGCTGCGCCTGGCCTTCGGAATAATTCACAGCTGTCATCCGAGGGCGAGGAGACTGTGCCTTGTTCTGCACGTCCCCCCCTCCGAAACCGTCGAGCCAGCCTGCGCCTGGACGGACACATGCTGACGGGCCAGAGGGCGAGGCCTCGACCAACAGACGCATCACGTTACTTCCAAATGCACCCAAGAGCCCGAGCGCGTAATACACCATCTGAGAACAATTCCAAAGAGCCCGCTTCTCAGTTTCCACGGACCTTAAAGGGACCGGGTGTGGGTGCAGTCTGTGTGTGTCGGGCTGAGACACAGGAGGGAGAGGGGAGATGCAGAGGAACGAGGGCTGTTAATTCTTCACGTTGGCAACAGTTTGTCTTGGAGTCCACCCTGAAGCAGACGCAGGCCCTGAGGCAGGGTCGCTCCTAACAGCACGAACGTTTGAGAGGTCCTTGGTGCGCGCACCCAGCTGATTAGTCACAGTCACCTGTGAGCATGAGACGCTTTCAAACCTGTCCTTGACTAATGACTAATTCTAAATGACGCGACATTAGAGCTCTTTCAGAAACAACAACGGCCATCTCCTGGCTCCCTGGTCTGACAGCAGAGGGACTTGACCTCAGTGAGCTGCTGTGACAAGGCCACCTCCCTCCGAGGGACGCTTGCACATTTGGCTTTTGAAAAATTTCACGTCTCAACTGCAACATCCTCCCGATACCCGCAGGTTTTGTGAGGAGTGCCTGCTGCTCAGGATCGGGAGACTCGGCGCAGCCCACGGCCACCAGCTGAGTGCGTGCGAAGGACGTGAGCCCTGCAAGTAGGAGGCGCTTGGGCATCGACGAAGATTAAGTCCTTATTTTAAACAAAGCAGTGTTGTAAGGTCGCTTTCTTTCCCTCTGTCTGAATTAGAAAAACAACTAGGGCTAGTTAGCCCCAAAATTTTCAGATTTGCATTTCACAATTTCAAAAACATGCTACGAGCCCGGCCGGCCGGCGCGGTTCCGTGGCTGAGCGTCAACCCATGAACCAGGAGGTCGCGGGTTCGATTCCCGGTCGGGGCACATGCCGGGGTTGCGGGTTCGATCCCCAGGGGGGGCGTGCAGGAGGCAGCTGATCAATGACTCTCTCATCATTGATGTTTCTCTCTCTCTCCCCCCCTCTCCCTTCCTCTCTCTGAAATCAATAAAGACATTAAAAAAAAAAAAAATCTTTAAAGAACAGAAGAATTTAGACTCAGAGAGGGCTCAGGACCGGTCTCCTCTCCCCACATCTGCTGCCCGACAAGCCCCCACGCGCGACGCCCCTTTACCTCCTCGGGGACGGCTCTGATGTTCCCGAAGCCTTTTCTGAAGACCACGAACACGCGGCGGGCGCCACAGCGCAGGGCCGAGGTCGCGCAGTCGAAGGCGGTGTCTCCGGCTCCCAGGACGATCACGGCGCCCCCGACCGATGGCAGCGGGGAGCGGCAGGCGCACATGCCTGAGGATGGACAAAGGGAACCCCGTTTTCACATGGGGAGGCCACCCCGCGCCTCGGCTCCGAGGATGCGTGTCCTCGGAGCCGAGGGAAATTGCGCCTCGCGGCACTCGGGAGGGAGCGTGGCTGTCAGTTATGCTGCTTTGCTGGAGGACGGTCTTATTCTCATTTTGTAAATATGCCCGTATGTGTGGGTCCCAGTCCCAGTCCCCGTAATCCACTTTCTTTCCTTCTGAAAGGGCGGCTACGGCACGTCCTGGAGGGTGTGGGTCCTGACGCCCTGGCGTCAGTTAACGGTCTCTGGGCAAGGAGGTGGCCTGTGTTTTTAACTTGGCTTCGTCACTTTTCCCTGAGTTAGAAGAAGGGCCAGCGACCCTCACGATGGGAGTTAGTCACGCAGAGCATTTCAGAAAAATGTTACGTAGCCGTCACCCTGAGGGACGTCTCACCACAGCCCCGCTTAGATAACCATGCGGGGAACTTCGCAAGTCAGAAACTAACATGCTGAGGAAGTGTCCTTTAGGTACCCGAAGAATTTCTTAAACTATGTTTTCAATAGTTAAAATAGAACTTTTTCCTGTTTACCACATTTCTGTGTTTTTTGCTTTTTTAAAAAATAAAACTGAGCGTGACAGGAGAAATGACCTTCTACACGCGCATTTCTCAAGAGCACCTGTGCGGAGACCTGACGTCCATGCGAAAGGCATGTTCTCCGTGCCTTGAAGTGGGAGTGTGGTATTGGATTAAATAACACCAGTGATGAGATAAATTACTATAATTTTTGAAATGGCATCATGGACAGCATGGGCCTGTCATTTCAGTAAAGTGCAATCATTTCGCTTGGAAGAGTCTGTGTTGGGATGAATCGGCCCCTGTATATGTCACGGGACTAGGGCCTTCCTCAGAAAGCGTCCCAGCCACACCCGTCCTGTTCTCCTGGAGGGAGGGAGGTGGGGGTGTGGGGTGCACACCTTCACCTGTAAACGTCTACAGAACAGTCGAGTAAAGAAAGGTTATTTTTTTTTTTTTTTAAATTTTGGGAGAAAACTAAGTTGTTATCTTTCCTACGTGCAATTAGATGTCAAATAGGCTTTTAAAACATCTATGTTTAAAGGATTTAGATGACCTGTTTTTAGAGAACACATTGCAGCTTCTTTCTCATTAAGACCCGATTCCAGTGCAGATAAAGCAAAGGACCGTGTTAGCTCCGGGCGGTTCCCGGGGCCCAGGGAGCGACATCACACAGACGCCACGTACGAGGTGTCTATTAAAGCGCTTTAACTTCACAAGTTCACTGCTCTAGAAGGGACACTCTTTCCGCCCGCTTGGACACAAACGATAGGGTCATTTGTCCACTTTTAAAATGAAAAAAAAATTAAATGCAAGAATTCCCAAACTGAAGCCCTGCCATTCCTCCCGAGAACATCGTCCAACGTGTGTCTGCGACTCTCTTCCTCTGAAGCAATTTCTCATGACGCAGCTCAGCCCTGCGTGTACGACGGGACAGGCCTCACGACGATGCGTGGCCGACGTGTGGACAGAGCACAGCACACGGGCAGATCGGGCTCTCTTCTTCTTCGTATCAGTGTTATGAAGGGGTCGATGTGAGCAACGTCCCGCTGAGCCTGGATTTAAGGTAAATTTATAATAATATAGCAGCATGGGCACCATCGGGAGTAGAAGACGACATGTTCTACCTGCTTTACTGCCTTTGGCTACGAGAGGCAGAAAGTCCTTGGATGTGTAAAACCCCTGCTCCTGCGTCAGGCCGTGGAAGATGGGGTCCTTATTGGGTTCCGGCAAACCTAGGAAACAAAATTTATAAAATGCCATTAGCAGGCGGAGAAACGTTTCCTATTAGTTTAAAAAGCAGCAAGCTGCAATCCTTGATGGGTTCTTAGGGGGGAAAAAAAATCTATAAGCGAATCAGACATGAGGAAACTGAGGCACAGGAAGAGGGAGGAAGGCTGCTGGGGGCCAGGGCGCAGGCGGGCGGCAATGCCCGCTCCCAACCTGACGGTCCGCTGCAGAGTCTACGCTTTAACCGCAAAGTGCTGCCCTTTTCACGCGTGAGGGTGGAATGAAGCCCTGACACACGGTGACGCTACCTAACGAGTGGGGTCTAAATGAATCATTCCACATCCAGCGTTCAGCGCTGCTCGCAGGCTAGACATGCGCGCCCGGCCCAGGACGGGGGAGGCCGGGTTCCCGCCTGGGGGCGGGAGGAGGCCGAGGCCGCCCTGGGCCGCAGCTCCCTCGTGACTCCTGTCTCGGGGACAATTCCTTTCCGCAATGTTCTCCTTCTCACGTGCATCCCCTTGGTGGCCTGCCGGTGACTTTCCCGTATCTGACACTCTTTGGAATACGCATCTCTGCTTTGTTTCCCTCTGGAGCAACTACGGAATAAATAACCGCGGTGCGCGCAGTAAGGCTTGGGGCTCCTATTAAGTTGCGCACACTTCAATTAGCACGAACAAGATATTAAATACTCTGCCTCCTGCTGTGTCTGGTCAGGAGCGGAGGAGGCGTGAGCTCTCCGGGCCGGGTCCCCGCAGCCGCGGTCGGTCGGACGCGGTTAGGCGTCTCAGATTTCGTGTCTGCCCGTGTTCCTTTCCCGGGTCACTTGCTCGGTGTTAATCGAATTGAGCAAGCACTGGTGCGACGCCGCTCGTTCTCGGAGACACGCGCTTGAGCGACGGCTGAGCCACCGCGGGGAAGACAGTGATCACACAGACCTGTCACTGGGGGGGCCTCACGGTCCCCGGGAAGGGGAGAGCCCAGCGCAGGACACGGCGCCGGCCTCGGTGCTCTGGGACAGGAACCTCCCTGCAGGCGCCTCCGTCCTCGGTATCTCACGCCCGCGCTTTCTCCACAAGCAGATGTTAGGAGACACGATCCCACCGAGCAGGTCACTCCTCTCAAGTTGGCTGGCTGGGGGGGGAGACCAAACGCAGCCAGCGGCCAACATCCTGCGTTTCTCTCTTTTCCAAGAATTTTGTATCTGAGATCCCACTTTCTCCTGGAAGAAGGGGGCATGTTGTGCGACCTCAGTCCTCACGGTCGGAGCCCGGCTTCTCGGTCCTCCCTGTCTAAGCCTCATGTGGGGACAGGCGGACACGCGGGATAATATTAAAATTGCAGACGAAAGGGAGACTCGTCAAACAGGCTCACGGAGGGACGCCGGGCGGTGTACCATGGCTCTCCCCCCGAGCCTTTGTTAAAGCAACGTCCCCGTGTGACCATTCCTTTTATTTTTGTTTATTTAGTCTTGCAAACATATCTTCATGCCAACGGGCTTATTTCTGTAACTATTTCCAAACAAGTGCATCTTAAATAAGAGGGAAACCTCTGAGTCAGACTTTCTGCATGAAAATTCCAGTTCTGAGGCGCACAGGCCACCGGGGCCTTGGGCAGGTCAATCTTTCTTTGTCAGGACACAAAGCAACAATGTACATAAAGCCCTCGGCACAGATGTGAGGTGAATGTTTCCTTTCATTTGTATCCTTTCCCTAAAAGCCTTGATTTATGGAATGAAACATTTGGATAGATGTGAATTAAACAATTAAACGTTCATCTAAACCATGATACACACGACTGACGTCACACACTGAGGCGGTCGGTGCGGACAGGTGGGCGGCGAGTCCGTGAAACAGCGTCTTTGGCTGGACTGAAAGGCTGTGTCCAGACGAGGGGCTCCTAACCCCATCCATTCTGCACAACACAACGGCCGCCAGCCACGCGAGCCTCAAGGCCGGGCAAGCGGCAAGGCTAAGACCCCCGATGGTCACTGCGACCTTCAAACTGGAGGGGGTCACACCTTGCTCCCGAGGGCCCTGGCCCAGGGCCCAGAGAACCGGGTGCCCGTCTCATTATTTCCCCTCTCCAGCTGCACCTGGGTCAAATTACTATGGTGACACCCCAATTCCTTAATTTTGGAATGAATACAGCCCTGCCTGATGTAGGGGGTTTTCTGAAAACGAGGGAGAGATGTGCACATAAAAACACTCTGGTAAATCTACAAGGACCTTCAAATGCTGGGCATCATTACTGTCTTGGGCAAAATATAAAAACAACGGAAAATAAAGACTCACATGACAAAAAGGTTTGTAGTAAACCCTTTCAAAGACAAAATATATTGCGACTGATCACAAGAAGCCTTTTAAATGGGTGCCTATGAGATGTGTAAATGGAGGTATAAAATCATATCTATTAATAGAGACGGTACCCCCCCCAAAATGTGTACACACTTTAATAGCCGATAGCTCTAGGTTCTATTACATTTTGAAAATAAAATGTATTTTTATAAACATTGTATATACACTGTGTATACATTTTTGGGGGACACCCTGTATGTATCTAATTAATACCTATTAGAAGAGGTAAACTTTTCTGTATCAAGCCCAGACACCTGGGGTTCCAACAGAGAAGTAAAACACCCCTTTCAAGGCCTAGCATTCCGCGGCACCCCAATGGGTCACAAAGCTCTTCACCTGTCACTTAAAGATCATTTATACAACTCAAAGGATTTGTATCTTATTTCCAAGGGACGACAGTGCCAGATGGGTTATAATTCTAGGGTCTATATATCGATTGGAAAGAAAACAGATCAATGATCCCCTATTGTGCTTCTTTTCCCAATAAACCCCCTCATTTTTCTCCCGGCGCCCCACTGTAAGCACACTTAGTTCTGAGTATTCGGACTGAATTCAGAAAGGACGGGGTGATTCGATATAACACGCGCGAAATCAGATCACCTTGCATCACAACAGTGTTCATTTCATCGATCTTTCAAATCCCCATTAAACATCTGCTTCGTGTGACTGTTGTCTACGTTCTCTCTACGTGTGACCAGATGCATTAGTGGTGTGCAGCACACAATCGGTCAGAGCGTAACAAGATAAAATGTTATGGATGGAGTCACCACCTCCAATCGCGGTTTTTCCCCCCAACACATAAGGTTATTTTTCTGTGCGGAAACATAGAATAATGAAGCCCAGAGCCAAGAGGAGAACAGCGCTCAGGCAATTTTGAAAATCTGATAGATGCTGAAATAAGGTCCTCGCTTTGTATTTAATTTGTAAGACAAGAAAATTTAAAAAGCACTGAAGGAGGGAATAAAATAAGAAAAGGTGATAATTCTACAAAGTTAAGTTAAAAATGTATTTCAGTTCACGTTTATAGCTTCCTGTAGAAAATATGCACCAGTTCGATCACATTGACGAGACCGGGTCACACGACTTTGTATTAGAACTTAATACCGGGCCCCGAGGTGGAGCGCAGGCCTCAAGTGAGAAACAATGTGAACACGGGAAGGAAACAGTGCTGACCAGGTAACACATGACACAGCTGAGTCTAAGTAGCTTAAATTATAGAGGGCTTGTTATTTGGATACTTGTATCTGGATACTTGTCATAAAGTATCCAGTGATTCCATGTAACAAACTGAGAATGTGATTCCTTTCCGGTCTGGTAATTTTTACTTTCTTTACACATTTGGAAAAAATATAGAGACTTTATTTTAATTCATAAAACAAGGCCCAAGGATTCCAAGATGGGCAAAATATCCTGGAGTGTATTTCACTTTCCTGACGAATAAATTTCTATGCCCAGGAACCACCATATCTACTGTTCTCTCTATACAAAGGGACAAATAAAACAACCCCAACGACAAAATTTTGGATTAGAAGATAAAGTATTTTTCTTTATGATTTTGTGGTTTTCCAATATTCTCCTAATTAGTGGAAGTTACTTTAATAATTAAAATTATATCTTAGTAGAAACGTAGGTCTTGTTAAACCTCTTCTAGGAAAGATATTGACGTGATTTCCTGCAACTGCCACAGGCTCCTCCCCGCCCGTTTGGTATTGTTTGCTAAAGTATGATTTACCTCTTGGGCCCTTTCTCTTTTACTTACCCCACTCCTTTCTTTTTTCTCTTTTCATTTGGCTCTTGCTATAAAACAATTTCCTTACATTTTAATCCTCACATTGAGAAGCAAAGACAAAAAAAAACATGGGATTCTTAGATGGTGCTGGAAATTACCGTTTAGGACTATGCACGTATACTATATTCCAAAGTAAAGAAATCGTTAATAATGGAAGACGAAAAAGGAACAGTTATATTACAGAATAAATCTACCAGGCTTACAAAGAAAACAAATTTGCAACAGCCACCTGCTGTGGAGATGAGGCAGTAATCTCAGCAGCGGGGAGTGAAAGGGGCCAGGAGAGAAAATACAAAAGCACAGACATTAAAAAAGTAATTAAAACACTTATCTCCATCGACATACGTAACGGAAAACACCCTCCGCCAGCCACCTAGAAACACGGGCTGGTGAGCTGCACGGCGGGAGAGGCGTTCCGGCCGCCACACACGCATTCTGCAGAGGGCGAGGCCCCCTAAGACCCTGCCCTCGGAGCCTTTCTAACGTGTTCATCACCAGCGCACGCAGCTCACACTCACCGCGTGGCATTAGTGACTTTCTCAAAGGTATTTTTAAGAATTGTACCTCTACATTTTTTATGCAAATACATTCTTAACTACAGGCACCGGCAACCCTCTTATTGGTAATTGCTCTCGTGACTTTTACAACTGTATCGTGAGGCTGAGGTGTTCTGCACATCAACAGTTTTATGCAATGATTTTTTAACATAACATGCATTTAGATAATGCACGTAAACGGTTTCCTTTAGAGCCAAGCTAATGTTAGCTACAGTCCTGAAATGCAAAGGGGTGAAACACAATCATGGATTTGAACTGCTCCAGTAAGCTCGGGCCCTCGCAGCTCTGCAAAGTGAGACATGGCA